GAGGCTGGGACTAGAGGCTGGGAGAGAAGGCTGGGAGAGGAGGCCGGGAGAGGAGGCCGGGAGAGGAGGCTGGGAGAGGAGGCTGGCACTGGAGGCCGGGAGAGGAGGCTGGGACTGGAGGCCAGGAGAGGGGGCTGAGAAAGGAGGCTGGGACTGGAGGCCGGGAGAGGAGGCCGGGACTGGAGGCTGGGAGAGGAGGCCAGGAGAGGAGGCCAGGAAAGGAGGCCCGAACTGGAGGCCAGGACTGATCCCAGCCCCACAGCTTCCCAGCTTCGTGACTTCACATGTTTTCTTCGGTAAAAAGAGAGTAATCATCCCTGTCCCAAAGGGTTGGTATTAGATTGGACACAATAATATGAGAATACTAAGCCAACACAAATGTCTGTTACCTTTGGGGCTGGGTTTTGCAAATTTTATCAATACAAATCATTCATATTGCAGTTTCTCGCCTTCTCTCGCCTGAAGTTAGAGAGTAAAATTGAAGCACAACGTGACCCAGCGTCATCCTGTTGGGGACACTGGCTCTGGGGCTGGCAGGGCGCACAAGCCAAGGAGGCCAGCCTGGGCAGAGGAGGGGCCCCCGAGAGCACCTCGTGCCCCAGGATGGACTTTGCCGCCCCAGACACACCTCAGAGCCAGAGGTTTATGGCTCCCACCTGCTCTGCTGGACAGGAAGTGGAGTCTCTTCCCAGGTCTCTCCACCCTCCGTGGTCCAGGGAGTGGTTCCAGGAAACCGTGCTCAGCTCCCCAGCCCAGGAACAGAGAGCAGGCTGACCAGGCTGGGAAATGCTGGGTGATTCGAGCCATGCTGGAGTTTGAACCCACTCAGCTGATGGGTGGTTCCGGGGAAGCACACGTGGCTTCCCCGTCTCAGCCTCCCGTGGTCTTCCCTCAGTGACTCACGCAAACGTGACTCATCTTGGGGAAGGACATTCGTGTGGCCTGAGGCAGAGGCCTCAGTGGACAGGCTGGGGAAGGCACCGTGATGCCCTCAGCCCCTTCCCACGAGGAGGCCACCTGTCCGGCCTGCACGAGGCCCCACAAAGGACCTGTGGACACACCTCCTGCTGGCCGTGCCTCATCTGCCCTCTGGGATGGGGGCCCAGCCCTCCTGCAAGGTCCTGCTGTGTCCATGGTGCAAGGAGGAGGGGCACACAGACCCTGTCACAGTCCCCGTGCCGCTGGGCACTCTGGAGGAGATGCATTGTGAGGAACACGGGGAGAAGGTATGCTTCTTCTGTGGACATGATGCTCAGCTCCTGTGCACGCGCTGTCGAGAGGGCCCCTCCCACCACACCCACGCCGTGGGCTTCCTGGACGGGGCCTGCCAGCCCAACCAGGTAAGAAGCATGGCTTTACCTCGGGCCTTTGGGGGTGGGACAGTGTCTGGTCACACGTAGTGGAGGGAACAGGATAGGGGTCCAGGTGAAGGCCCTGGCTGGCACATCAGGGGACTCCAGCGTAGGGACACGGGGCACACTTCCAGACGGAGAGGGCCATGGGTCACTTGGATGTGTGGCTGTTCACAGTCTTGCAGGAACTTCAACGCCAGCCTCAGAGGCCCCTCGGTGATGGATGCCAAGAACCGTAAGCATGAGTTGGCTGCCCTTGGGACAATCCACCCACTGTGTGCAGGCTGAGCCAGGCCTCCCGGGACCCAGACTGGAGACTTCGCAAAGCCCTGGCTGCTGGACCCAGAGGGATGAGGCGGGAGGGGCCAGCAAGGGCGACTGGCAGGCAGGGCTCCTCCTTGTGAGAGTGGGCATGACCTGGCCCATCCAGTCTCAGGGACGCTGCCCCCTCTGTCTGCCCCCAGATCTCTCTCATCATCCAGTCACCAGGTCTGCAAGCGATTTCTCAGAGGCACCTCTTGGGTCTTTAACTCGGCCTCGTCCCCACAACCGCCACCAAATCCAGGCTCTCAGTGCTTCACCCAGACATTGGACGGCCTCGGACGTGCTCCCTGCCTCCGCTCTCTCTGTCTCCGATCACCCTCCAACCCTCCACGAGGTACATCTTCCGCAAACACACAGCAGACCACGTTGCTTCCCTGCTCAAAACCCTCCTATGGCTCCCTCGTGCCCCTCATCTCCCAGCCGCCCCTCCCAGGACCTGAGCATCCAGCTGGACTGGCGGCTGGGCACCTGCTCCTTCCTGCTTCCAGCTCCTTCTCACGTAGCTACTTCCTCCGACACTGCTCTCTCTCCCCCCACTCCTTTTTAAACCATTTCAGCAATTTCTACGTGTGCAGTCCAGGGACACACAGTACACTCCACCCCTCTAGACCCACTGTACGTGCTTTCTGTCTCTGAGATCCCCCCTGTGCCCTTTGCGTTCCCACCTCGGCTGCCAGTTTCGTCGTGACTGACTCATCTCAGGTGCTGGTCTGTTCAGGTCAGCCCTTTCCACCGCTGAATCCCTCAGTGGTCAGCCGTGTGCCTGGGACCCAGCAGACAACTTGTATCTGTGAATTAAGCCACCCCTTTCTGCCCATTCTTCTCCCCACAGGACGGTGTCAGGACTCAGTTGGAAGCCCTGAGGGTGGAGGGAGAAGAGATTGAGGACATAAAGAGTCGGGAAGACCAGAAGTTCCAAATGCTTCTGGTAAAGAGCTTCTGGGCACCTTGTCCTCTGGGGGTTTTCTTAGCAGACTGGGGGCCTGGCAGGTGAGAAGAGGCAAACTGTTCTCACTCACTTCCCTATGTGTGCACAAGGGCATTTGGGGTCAAGGTTTTGGAATCCCAGAGCATCACAGCTGGAAATGGTTCTGATGACTTCTAGCCCAAGATCCACTTAGCAGCCACTTTACAGAGCAGAAAGCTGAGGTCCAGGAAAGTGATGCTCCCAAGGCCACACAGCAAAGCCCACGTTCACGCTGACATGGCTGTAGAACCTTGGCCCTCAGCAACCCTTCCCATCCCAGTCTCAGTGCCTGAAAGCATCGCCTTCAGATGGGAAGCTTGGGGCCAGGAAGTGTATACAAGGGTCTGCCCTCTAGTCTGGCCGTGAGGCTGACCCTACACCATGAGGGTGTCCCTGGGCACGGTAGGTGAATGGTGGGGCTCCCTGCTCACAGCTACATGGTTATTTATCCAAGAGGAAAGCTGCAGTATGAGAATTTCTGGTACCCTGACCAAGAGACAAGTTTTGGGACAGGAAGGGATCTCCAGCATCCCTGTGCCCCTCTCAGAGTGTGCCCTACAGGAGGCAATGTCGGAGGCTAAGACCAATGCCACACACTCTGCGTGGCCTGTAACCTCACTTCCTTTGCTTGCGTGGCCCTCCGATTAATGACTACCGCCATCTCCCCTGGGCCCTAGGGGAGGTGGGGTGAGGTTAGTGTGAAAGTTCATTGTGGCTCGGAGGATATAATGTGTATGACGGGTAGAATCTCCAGGTAGGACAAGAACATAGCCCTCATCACGTTAAGTTTACCCTGAGACCCATCATATTATACAAGAGACTTAGTTAGTCCTTATCACTCTTAACAGTAAGAATACCGATGACCCTCCTGGAACCCAGCTTCTGAGCTTCCTCCTGGCCACGTCTATATTTTTGCCTCTCACAGACTCACATCGAAATCAGGAAGCAGCAGGTAGAAGCCGTGTTTGAGAAGTTGCAGCAGGAGCTGAGGGAACAGCGGGGCCTCCTGCTGGCCAGGCTGAGGGGGCTGGAGGTGCAGGTCTGCGAGGAGCGAGAAGACTACATCTCCAAGTTCTCCGAGGAGGTTGCCAGGCACAGAGCTGAGGCCGAGGAGCTGGAGAACTGCCAGCAGCTGGCAAGTGTCCTGCTACATGTGGGGGGCTGTCCACAACCTGCCTCGTGGGATGGGAGAGGGATTGCTCAGGCAGGGACAGCAGCTGAGGTTGGGAGATGCTGCAGAGGGGCAGGAGAGGGGAGCAGAGGTCTTCTGCTAGGAGGGACTGGTAGCTGTCAGGTTTCTTCAGCCCAGAGACGCTACAGAGGGGCAGACCCCGAAAGGCTGGATGACTTGACCCTGCACTGCGGTCGTGTCAAAGACTCTGGAATCAGCCGTTCTTGGGTTTGAGGGCAGGCTCTTCCAGCCGTGTGGCCTCAGCGAGCCTTGCGCCCGCCTAAACATGGGGATAACAGTAGCACCTCCTTCCTAGAGCTCCTGCAAAGATGATAAACAATCCGTACCAAATGCCTCGCATGGTCCTGGTTCACAGAGAGAACTCCATAGTGGCGTCTGTTTCGATGGTCCTCACGTTATCCTGCGTCACATCAGGTTCGGCTGGTAACTCAAGGCCTGGACCCTGTTCTCCACCATGTCTCAATCACTGGAGGCAGAACACGCTCCCAAGATGAGGCTAAGACAAAGAAGTGAGCTTGAATGATCTGGCCAGAGTCCCACATTAGTAGGGAGGCATGGTGCAAAAGAATAGTCTGATGGGTAGGTCATTAGACACACAGAACTTTCTTCAAGAGGAGAACTTTGAGCCAATGCGTTACGAAGAACGGATGTGCAGGCTCTCTGGCGGGAAGGACCTGAGGACACTGAGTGCATGTTCTTTTTCTTTTGTAGGATGTGGGCGTCAGCCAGAGCAGGTAGGGCCTCCTCCCAGTCCTGCTTCCTTCACACATGGGGTGTATACTTTGTATCCGTCACCTGTGTCCCCTGGGCACGGACATTGGGGGGCACTCTGACCTCGCCCTCCAGCGGGCTGCGCGGAAACGCAAAACTGCTTTGGCAGACACACACACAGGCAGCCTCCACTCAAAGGTTTGTGTTCCAAGAGTTCGTTTTTAAAACTGATTGTTTGGTATCAGGGACACATTTTCCCCTTAAAAGTGAAGAAACAAACAACAATCAGGTTTTTTGGCTGATCCAGGAACATCCATTTAATTCCCGAAATTATTAGTGCTCGAGGCAGCGTTAACACCAAAACGTAATTCTGAGGGGAACATCTTCTATCAAGTACAGTCAGCACGGAACGTGGAAAGACCAGGCAGCCTGCCTTCAACCATTTCCCCCCTCAACTGCCCCATTTCCTTCAGAATTTACAAACACTACTCTCAAGGGGCAGCCGCTGGAACTGTGAATATTAGCTCCTCTCCCTTCCTCTGCTCCAAGTGCCTGCGCCTTCCCGGTGCTCTGCTAGGGAGCAGCTGTCACAGCCGTGGGTCATGCATCCACAGGGGCCTGAACCCCGGGGGGGGGTCTACCCTGGGGGCCCATGAGCCAAGAAGCATCTCCAAACATACTTTTCAAGTTGTGTTAGAGATTCCGATCTAGATGGGCTTTGCAGGCCTTCTGGTTTGCAGAGGAAGCTGAGACCAGGAAGTGGGGGAAGGGGCTTGGGGGGTTGAGGGGTTGGGGGAGGGGGTAGGGGTGCTGTCAAGGTCATGCAGCGGGTGACCCGCAAGGACACATTTTCTTCCATCCCGCTGTTCTCCCCCATCCCCTTTCCCCTAGTAATGAGCAGCACACAAGTCACAGAGGAGTTCAAGCGCCTTCTCCTTTTCCTAGTGACCCTGTACTGTCCTCTAGAGGCAAACAGGGTAACGACCTCTTGCAGCCTCCACAAGCCCCAAACATTCTCCTAAAGGACCTTCCTCTAATTCTGGAGGAACTGGTTGTAGGTGTGAGAAGACTTTTGTGAGTCCAGAGACCATTTCTCCTGCCCTTGTCGAGAAGATCCGAGATGTTCACAGGAAAATCCTGCCCCTCCCAGAGATGCTAAGGACCTTCTCAGGTAAAGGGGAAGGGGTAACAGATTTCCCCATGCTGTTCCCTCCCCCCTCCACCGCTTGCCCTTCTGCCCCCCCCATCCCTCTCCGCCTTCCCCTGCCTTCCAAGCCTGCCTCCAGTTGTCTTCCACCCAAGCCTTCCCTTAGTGACCCTGCTCTGCTCAGAGGGACCATTCCTCAGAGATCTTCTCTCCCCAGGGACATGCACTGGCAGGTGGGGGCTGCTCCTGTGCCATTAGAGCACAGCAGGAGGCATGGAGCAGATGCCTTCTCCTCCTTCCCCACGGGGTCCCCAGGTCTGCCCTGGGGAGTACCTGTAAGAGATGGCAAGTCACATACCTTTCTATTTCTGCTTCGCTCAGAAAGCCTGGTGCATCATCTGGAAACAGACTCAGGTAAACAGCTGGGGGTTTCGGGAGCCTTTCTCTCATCCACCCACTCAACCCGAGGCAGCAAACAGAGCAGTTAAATACACCACGTCTGGAGCCTGGTTACTGGGCTCTCTGCTCCAGCTCTCGCTGGGTATGAGGCATCCGGCAAGCCGTTAAGCCTCTTTGTTCCAGTCTCTTCACTGGAAATGGAAAGAGACAATGGAAAACACACTGGTTCTAGCCCCATACATAGCCGCCAGGCAAGTGAGGCAGTAGATGCCTCATTACCACCAGGTAATGAGGCAGTTAGTGTAGCACCTGGCACATAGTGAGGGCTCAATGTTTGTTACTTGTGTAGGCATTATTTCCCCCCAAATATTTATGAAGTTCTTGGTTGTGTGTGTGTATGTGTGTGTAATGCCCGGCACTGTGCCAGACTCTGCTGACTTGAACAGATACTGTATAATTTAAAACCTAGCATTTACTTTGAGATTGGTGCTTAAAGAAGAAACTATTTCCACAAATATCACCACATTCTGCTTCTCACACTTAATGTGCAAGAAAAACCACCCGGGGGATCTTGTTAAAATGCAGATTCTGGTTCAGTAGGGATGGGGCCCAAGATTCTGCATCAAAAAAAAAAAAAA